TGGTTCTTCTTTAGCTTCTCCCAACTTATAGTTTGGATCTATTGGAGTAGAGATTGGCTTACACTCAGTCTTCCTGTTTCTGCCAATAAATCAATCACGTACTTCTGCTGAGATATGAAAATTCCCTGTGTGAAATATGCCACCTCAAGACCGAGGAAGTACTTCAATTTCCCCAGTTCCTTGATTTCAAATTCTTTTACTAGTCTCAGCTTCAATTCATGCTTCTCTTTCTCATCATTTTCAGTCACTATGATATTTTCCACATGGACTAAAAGAGCGGTCATTCCCCCTGCAGCTGAATGTTTAATGAAAAGAGTGTGGTCACCTTGGCTTTGATTATACCCAATACCCTTCATGACTTTTGTAAATCTGTCAAACCATGCTCTAGGAGATTGTTTTAACCCATAGATGGCTTTTTTCATTTTTAGCTTGCACACCTTGTTACATGTGTCCCCTTCAACTCCCGGAGGGATGTTCATGTAGATTTCCTCATTTAGGTCACCATGAAGAAAAGCATTCTTTACATCATACTGTAGCAGTTGCCAATTGAAGTGAACAACCAATGAAAACAGTATTCTCACAGTGTTCATTTTTGCAACTGGAGCAAAGATTTCCTGATAATCCACCCCGTAAGTCTGTGTGTACCCTTTAGCTACTAACCTTGCCTTATATCTTTCAAAGGATCCATAAGTCTTGTACTTTAATGTAAAAATCCACTTGCAATGAACAATGTTTTTTTCCTTTGGTTTGTCAACGATCTCATGTTTTGTTCTTTTCTAAAGCACTCTTTTCCTCTTTCATAGCGTCTCTCCATTCCTTTTTTGTCAATGCCTCAGACACATTGTTAGGAATGACAATGACGTTCAAACTCACAATGAATCTTTTGTGGGCCGGTGATAGACGCTTGAGAGATACATAGTGAGATAGTGGATAGAGTGGATTGGATCATTGGACTTGTGTCAGTTCAGGAACGACCTTTCTCCTTGAATACACCTGAGGAAATCTCGACACTAGTGACACTAGTTGGAGTAGGAGATAATAAGGGTTCAGGATCAAGTGACTCAGATGTGATTGGTTCAGAGGACTCGGGTTTAGCTGGAATAGGAGGGTTTGATCTTGGTTCAACAACACGGGCTGGCACATGTGAAAGGTCAAGGGTTTTAAGTGGTTCAAAGGGCTCACAAGTACTATCTTCCATCAT